CCATTGTGCTATTGTCTGGCTACTGGGTAAGATCCTTTTTCTCTATACATGTGGGTCTGAGATACTTAGGACTGACATTCATCAGCAGTGTGAACATCTATGTTCACCTTGCCTGCAAGGAAAGTGACTCACTAACACTAAACCTGAAGTGGGCCCCTTTATTCAATGGTGCAGCATGCCACTGGGGTGTTGTTATTGTTGCTCACTTGGAGTTTGCTCCCTCCTGCTAGGTCTGCCATATACATACTTGGGTGGTAGATCTGGTGACATGCAATATATCCTAATGTTTTCTTTGCCTGACACCTTGCTTATAAATTCCTGTAATCCAAAGGGTGATCTGCAACCCAGAATAACCAGAGAGGGTGACCTATGACCCAGAATGACTAATAAGGGTGATCTGCGACCCAGAATAACTTGAAATAGAGCATTATAAGGTCAACCAAAGGTTCAGCTTATGGTTACCAGGGGGAGACTCGGTGGGCAATCATGGCCTGGATCAAACACGGCTTCAACACACTGTGCGCCTCACACCTGGGATTTAGTCTGAGGTAGTTCAAGGTTTTGCATAAGGGGAAACTGGCGTTTTTCATAGGGATCGCCCTGGTATATGCTCTGGATCTGCACCCAAGGGTAAATTCAAGGCAAATACAAAATTTCACCAGGTCCTAAAGCCCCAAACTCACGCCACCCTGGAGAACTTGGCAGACAAATTCATTAGGATAGTGATGGGGGAGCAAAGCAGGGACTGGGAATACAAAATCAATCGACATAAAGCCTTAATCGCTGTCATCCTCCTCCATTCCATTCTCATGATCTTCCTCCCCCTCCTCCTCCTCACCCTCTGCTGCATCCTCTTCAACTTCCTTGTCATCATCTCTTGCATTCTCAACCTTGATTTTGCTGTCGTCGCCATTGTTACTGTCATCACCACTGTTGCTATCCTCACCATCAGGGAAAGATGTGTGCAACATGACAGCCCCATAATAATGATCATGATATATATAGGCTCAAGATATATTATAGACTGACCAAGGGTGAACTGATTATAATCACGATTGTGATGATAGATTGCAGACATAGAGACCTTGATTGAGAAGGGGCCAAGACAGGACTGAGACAGAGCTGAGAGGGAACTGGCTGGCTGAGGAGCTTGATTGATGATAAACCAAGAAGGACTCCATTGCGTCAGTGTTGACCCAGACATATATGCCTGGTAGTTCCTAGAGGTGGTAACAGTCACAAAGGTGGTAAATGGAAGTGGGGAAACCATGATGCTGTAGGGCCATCTCACCAATGAATCCTCCACTGCCCTTTTCAGAGAGGCAAGCCCTTGAGTGAGGGTATTGCCAAAGTCTAGATCTGTTGATATAATTAGGCAGTTTCCATGTGCTTATATTCTGTGTCCTGTCCACATTTATCGTGCAGGTCCAGACTAGCGTCCCCTCCCCTTCCCTACCTTCTGGACAACCCCATACTCACTTTCCATGCTGCTTTTGGACCCCCCTATTACACCAAGTCTGTGAGGCTTTCAAGCCTATGTGCTCGAGGCAAGCATGAATTCAACAAATCCAAAAGGAAGAGGAAAGACACCTAAAACTGATTGCACATCTTCTTAGACTGGAGACCACTCATTTCGGCAGTACCACATCTTCTGAAAGGTCTGTTTAGCCTGGAAACTGAAGATAAACAATGAAGCAATCGGCCCTCTGCTTCAACAAGCCCAACACTTTCCTTGCATGGTTGCAGTCAAGCTGAACACAAGGTCACAAAATCACATGCTAATGCAAGGTCATAGAGTCTCATCTACAAAGGTTCCACTCTCTCAACTGTTGGGCAAGCAGTCAAGGAGCATTGGTTCATTACTGCAATTGAAAGGAAAGCTGTCTGGCTAGATATGAATGGCAAAGATAATCTTTAGCACTGCCGATACAGCTTAACTAGGTCACCCACTTTGTAAAACAATGATATTGTTGGTCCTTGATTGCTAGTTTTGCTTGTTGTCTCTCCTCCAAAATCTCCCATGCAATTCATATTACCTTTTCCCCTTCCCCACTTCCCCCCTCCATTAATTCTGAGCCCTCAATAATACCGTTTCTTTGTCATATGAAGCCTGGAATATTGTCTGAGTGTAAGCCATGGTGAAGTGTCAGACAAGGGGGGTCACTGATTGAAACATGAAAGAAATGCTCAGGATGCAATCACATGATGTGCAGCAGCCTCAGTTCCAACATGGACTCCTTCGATCAAGCCCCCCACCTACAACACTTAGAGAACAAGTTTCAAAATACTTGAAGAATAGAGATCAATATACTAGTATGCCCAACGTAACATGTCATGATCAGTCTACTCTCAACTATCACTCATTCTCTAGTCACTTTGGCCAAGCAAAAAAAGTGCAAAAAAGTGCTCTCCTCCTGGCAATCGCACCCAGCTCTTCTTCAAAACCATGAGCAGGTCCACTGTTTTGGCTGAAGGCTGGTTTGGGGGTCCTGGTTATCTTGGCCAAAGGCCCCTGGGGTACTGGCAAGGGTCCTGACAATCTTGCCCAAAGGGTGATTGCAGGGGGTGGCAAGCTGTCTTCGCAATTGAGCGTTTTGAGGGGGAGTGGACGTGTGTGTGTGTACAATTGGCAAGGTGCGTTTTGAGATAATTCTTTTCAAGATGGGGAGCATGGTTGATGATGGGTCATACTCCCAGGGGGAGAGCCCTTTCCAGTGTGTGATCTGGGAAGAAAAGTTCAACTATCCTTGGCTTTGAAGAACTTGCCCCAGCTCTTCCAAAAGCAGAGGGTGAGTGGTTAGACTGATGTGTGACTCCAAGTCAACATCAGCATGATAACAAAACTCACTACTTTTCCGTGCTGGGTCTGTCTGATGCCTTGATACGCTGTCCTTGAGATCAATAGCATGAGAAGCTTAGCAAACCAGTGCTTCTTTGGCTGGCACTCCAATATCTGACTGCTCCAGCTCTTGCAAAGGGTGAGGTGTTGGATGGTCTGGGATCGCCACTGAGCTGTCCTGACAGTATTCAAGCCGCTTCAAGTTGGTCCTTCTCACACTTGCCTCACCGGTCACCTGACATCGGATTGCCTTTGGTACAAGAGACATTGAGGAACAGGGTGGATGTGGGGGGAGGTCTGAGGGCAAGGAGAGTTGAGTGAAGAGGCAAGAGGGAGACGATGCATGTACATGGAGGTGGGGAGGAAAAAGAAATGGGGTGGCCATGGATAAGTTCAAGTTGAGATTGAAATACAAATGCAAAGAATAAACTTACTCTGCTCACTTGACGCTCCCTCTTATTCCCTCAAGACAGAATCACTTGATTTCCTATACCCATCCAACCTTGGCCACATTCAAAACCCATGATTGCTTGTCATGGCCAGTCAGCCCTAGCAAGCCACAGGCTTGGATGATAAAGCCTCTGGGGAGCTTGATGAAGATCTTGACAAACACCTAGACCAAAATCTCCTTGATGATCATCCTGATGATGATGATGACAAGGACAATGGTCTTGATGAATGCCTACCAACAATGTACATCAATCTTCCTGATTTCAAAATCCAAACACTTCTGGATGCCTGTGGGTCTCTGTAGGTTCCACAAGATGAGGTGGCCACACTTAATTCTGTAGAGGCCATTAATGCCTGAATTTTGTTTCAAAGTCCACCACAACTCGCTCTCTACCACATTGCCACATTGCCATTTCATCACCACTTCACCATGCTCACGATGTTATTTAGAATCCTAGTGCAAAGCAGGTTTAGCAGTTGTCAAGGGAGGATGGACCTTCAAATGCTTCTTGGTCCCAGAGTCTTGGACAATGGTTTTTGAGTGAGGGGTGGCATTTGCTTCCAAGGGGGCAAGAGAAATGAAAGGACAAGCATACTTGAGGTGCAGGGATTTTAAAACATGGGGGTGTGCCAAGTAATGATAATCGCCTGCCAACATGACTTATACACTGTTCACTAGGGTGGTCACTGTACTCCACTACTGCACAGTGGACTTCATGGACTATAGTGTACATGATTTAACCTGTTAGAACCCTGGGATATATAATACTATCACCATGTATGACAGTGTATTTTCTTATCTGCTCAGACATTAATTGGCATACAGAATGGGTAAGGTGCAGTGGTGTAGTACACTGTCCTGCCACTGGTGTACACTGTACCCATATACTGTACAGTGTATGTTCATTGGTGTACACTGTCCACTTGACTTCACTAAAACTACACCATTAAAACAGTGTAGGACAGTGGGTGTTTACTTTATGTGCACTGTATGTAAGGCATGCCAGTTATATAATCACCTTGCTAGAGGACTGTTGTCTCATATTGGTAGTCTTGGTAAACACTTTGGGTTCAGTGGCCGTAAGACTATGATTAGGGAGACAATTGCTACTGTTAAAAGACTATCCTACAACTACTTAAATACACTTGGGCAATCCCTCAAACTTGGGGCAAGATCAATGACGCCGCCCGGGCTTGCACTAGCAACAGTTACAGCTTTGATGACCATCCTTGCATGGGACTGAGGAACCATCGACTTTATGTGTTGCTAATTGATCAAAAGAAGATCCTATATATGTGAAGTCTGTCAGTTCCCTCTTTCACTGTATGCCTATCACTGACTCAGGACACAACCGTACCAGGAACCCAAGTTGCATAAGGGCACCTATTATCACCCACTGTGTTACAAGATCGTCAGGACCTGCCTCTTTAGCAAGGCAACAGACAACAGGGGTCTTTTACCTGAATTCTTTGAACCCGTTCAGGCAGAACGGTGGCACTTGTCTATACTGCAGCAAGTATTTGATTGATAATCCCTGCACTCCTGACTCTGATTCTTTGGCCTAGATTTGAATGTGCTTGGTTGAGTGGAAGACGGGAAACTTCAAGCCTTTGATCTTCACAAGCAAGATCTATCAACCAATTTATGACATCCATCTTGCCAATCTCAATGCCTTGAACAATGCCAACCCACTTTTTTGCAATACACCAAGGCCACCTGGCGCAATGGTAACGCATCCGCCTACAAAAAGATGTCAGCAGGAGGTTGCAAGTTCAAGCCTTGCTGTGGCCAGGGTCCTTTTTCACCTTCTTGAAAACAACTTTGGAGGTCATGTGGTTCATCTCGAGTTTGGTTTGTTTTGGCCCCGCACTTCAACCATCCCCCCCCCCCCATTACTTGACTACTGCGTTCCAGGTTCCAGCGGCTCATACATGCAGACTTAAGAACTGGCTGCCCTACGTTCATCTTGACTCCGGCGTAAGCCAGTCACCATTCCAGGGGGGTTTTCCTTTCTTTTCTTTTCTTTCCCAACCATTGGGCGGTTTGCACGCAAGACCCTGTTGTCTTTGCAAACCTTGGAACTCAGCAATCACCGAACATCTCCTTGACCATGGTGAGTTCTTAAAGCTCGTCGCATTGTCTGGGAGGGGGCATCCTTTTAACAGGCACCATTTGCAGATGACCCAAAGATTACATCCCTATGCTCAACCTCCACATCCAGCAGCCCAAAATACCCAAACTTGGGATCGTCATAAGGAGGAATTGGAAGAGGGAGAGATCCTGGAAAGGGGTAACTTGAGGGGGAACATGAAGCGAGGCACTTGCAGTACTAGCACGACGATGGCCTGTGCCGGCATAGGGATAGCACGGCATCTGAAAATGGGGCAATCCCTAAATGTAAGTACCTGGAGCAGTGATCATACTGCTAGTCTTATTGACAATGATACCAGATAGTGAAGTTGTACCAGCATCCATCTTGCAGTTATTTCCAAACAGAAGGACGACTCACAATAAAGTCAACCCTCCTGGGGATTTACCATCTCTTATTTATTTATTGTGTCTTTTGCTATTTATAATGAGAAGGATACCCTCTTGATAACATGATTCTTGTATGGATTTGAATTACTGTCGACTCCATACAGGTTATTATAAGAATATTGTGCTCTATCCAGGATTCCATACCACATATTTGTCTCTACATAGTATGGAATAGATGGCCTAAGTTGGCTGGTATTGCTCTGTATATGGGGGGAAGACTATGAGACTATGTGCGCTATGGACACTAGGGATGACTACCCATGCTGGTTTTTTTTTTTTCCTGTGTGCAGGCTGCTGGGTGGACGAGGGTAAGTTCTGCCAATTGCTGGGAGTGCTGGTGTTGATTGAATGCCACTGATTGGGGGGAGGGTGATGTAGTGGGCTGGAGTTGGATCGTGCTGGAATGTGGTGGTTGGCGATCAAGTTGGTGTTGGATAGTGGGGCATTGAAGGTAAACTTGGTGGGAATGTGGGTGTAGAAGCAAGGGTGGAACCTGGCTGGGATGAATGCACAGGTGGTAGCTAGAGTGGCATACAGTCAGTGGGTGTTGAGGGGGAAAACAGTTCAACACATACCAGCTGTCGATGGAATACAGGATAATCTGGGCAACTGGTCACTGAGGTTTCAGGTGTTATGAGGTGAGGCACACCAGCCAAGTCCAGATAAAATGGACAGCCATACAAGTCAACAAGAGGGGTTGAGGTGAAGCAGAATGGATTATGTGGGAATGGAGGAGGAGGAGGAGGAGGGGAAGAATGAGAGTGAGCCAGCGCATGATTGCTGTGTGGACTGGAAAAGAAAGAGAGTCCCAGTGAGAATTTATTCCTCAAGGTTGCTGACCTCTTGATGAACAGCGAGGCTTGTCTTGAGATCCATCACATCCATAGCTGGTGCATAAAAGGCTTGCTGAGGGTTGCTGGTGCATGGAAGGGTTGATGTTTGAGAAGGTCTCAAAGTCCAAAAACCACCTGGAGGAGTTTTCAGGGTTTTCCCGTTGGCTGATGGCTTGTACCTGAGCAGGTAAGATTGGCAGGTTTATAGGCTGCTGGGACATGGTTGAGTTTGCAGTAATTGTGGCCGAGAGGTGAGGAAAACAGAGGGAGAGGGGCTGAGGTTGGTGACAGAGAGCTAAGGGTTTGGGTGTTGTGTGGGAGTGCAGAGGGCCAAAATCAAGTGCAAAGAAGGTGGGGGGCCTCTGCACTTCCTAAGGGAACAGATCGTGATGGCAGTGCATTTGGGATGTAGGAGGAGGGTCATACTAAGTGGAAGGTTTAGCAGAGGGGAGCAAGTGGCCTGCATGGCAACAGTTGCAAGAAATGGCCAACCATTGCTTGGTCTGCCCTGTGACTGTGAGCAACTGGTTCATCCTAAGCTAAAGTTAGCCTACAGGAAGTCAACCAATGCCATCCCAAACCTGATTAACATTAGGGTGTTTCACGACAGCGAAATCCCTCCGAAAAGGCTCATGTAAAATCGTTCGAGAGTCAGGAATTTAGATCTGTTTCCAGGTGTGAGTTTTGCAAAAACAAAACGAGAAAACCCCAAATACGCATCTCCATCCAACAGTTGCTGACCAATTGTTGCTGGGAATATTCTACCCCATTCCGCTGCACCAGACTGTTGACTCCCCAAGCAGTATGCCCACAGTTTCAGCATTGCAACTTGCCCTCAAAGAGGCTGTCCAAAAGGCACATGAAGAGCTAGAGTTTCTCCAGGCTGAAGAAGACCTCCTCATCCGCCACTTCTATGCTGAGGGTGGACTTAGATCTGACGGACTGGATGAAGATCACAGCTCAGATGCTGATCTCAGTGATCTCTCATCTCTTTCATCTCTCTCTCTCTCTCATCCATCACTGCACTTTCGGACGCTTCGGACAACCATTTCCCTGATGCGGAGCTTCAAGTTAAAAATAGCCTTCATCTCTGACTGTGCCAGATTAGCGAGAGGCGGATTGCCCTCCTCAAAGATCTCCAGCTCTGGCTGGAGGGTCTGAGTGAGACACGAGTCTTCTTCCCCAACAATCCTGTTCCAAAGCTCTCCCAGCTGCACCTTGTTTTCTGTCAGTACCATGCAGAAAACCCAAAAAACTTTCATTGCAATCTCCAGGTTTTGCCAGCCACCTTTGACGTTCTCCACACCAAAATACAAGATCATCTGTCTTTTCTAGTCCCAGGTCACTTTGTCCTCAGTTCCCAGTTGAACACCAGCTTACTATCGCCCTCTACCGCTTTGGTCATAATGGGAACAGTGCTTCAGTTGAGTCTATTGGTCAGTGGGCAGGGGTGTCGGCTGGATCTGTGGTGAACTCTGCCCGCTGTGTCATGAGAGCCTTCCTGGATCTCCATGACGAGATCATGTGTGACATCACACCCACTGAGAAGGAGGAGGCAAAGCAGGCTGTTGAGGACTTGTTGTGTGCTGGGTGGAAGGATGGATACTGTATAGTTGATGGCACAACTATTCCCTTGGAGTGGAACCCAGACTGCACAGAGATGTTACTTTGACCAGAAGTCAAGCTACTCATTGAATCTCCAGGTTGGTTTATTTCCACTTAGTTTTAAAAGAGAGCCACACTCATCACCTTTCTGGGCTAGCTCATTAGCTTGCCCAATTTGAGAATCATCGACTATGGGCTCAGGCACTGCGGCAGTGCACACGACTCTACCTGTTTCAAAGACACCAAGACCGCAAAAGAGACAGCAACCCGATTCCGGCCAGGTGAATGGATTTGTGCGGACTTGGCATATGCATCAGAAACATGGACCATTACCCCATATAAAAAGCTGTGAACTGATCCCCAAGAGAACAAGACCTTTAACTACTGGGTGTCACAGGTCAGTTGGTTGTTCCAAATCTTTTCTCCTACTAATTCTCTCTTTCACCTTAGTGGATAGGTCCAAGTCAGGTCTGAACATGTGGTAGGCTATTTGAAAGGTCGCTTCATGTCCTTAAGGGGCCTTCAGCAGCATATCGGGTCAAAGCATGACCATATTCTCGCAATTGAATGGGTTCGTGTTTGTGTGCTTATTCATACCATGGTCCAGAGAATTGAAGGAAGAGAAGAAGATCAGGAATTCCGTGATGCGTGCATTGAGGATGGACTTTATCAGTCAGATAGTGGACAGAGACAATCGGTCGGAGATACTCAAGCGCAAGGAAGGAGGTTGAACCCAGGTCAACAGTGGCAAGAGACAGTGAAGGCACGACTTTTTGCGTTTGGGGTCACATCTTAGTAGCATAAGGGTGTATAATTTAGCAGCAGGTAGAGATACAGGGATTTGGAGTTAGTAGTGATACACATCCGTGCTGAAGTTAGTGATAGAAAGGAGTTTGAGGGACGCCCGACGAGTCATCGGCAAAAGTCACATTCAAACCGAGGTCAAAAATGCCACTGGTTTGTGAAGTCAACATCATTGGACTGGGGATAGGGGTGTCCATAGAGAGAGGGGAGTTGAAGGACTGGACATGGCAGGGATTTGATGGGGAAGTTGTGTCAAAAACGTTCCAAATTGACGAGCTTGGATCACAGCAAGCTCATGAGCCATCTCAAGCCGCCTCTCTTGCGCCTTGCAGTCGGCTTGAGCAGCTTTGTGGCGCCTCTACCGCTCCTTGTCCTGGGCACAAAGCTTTGCTGTCTGGATCCAATGTGGCAATTTTCTCCTTGTACAAGAGGTTGTCAAGTGTTGCCAGACGCTTGGACTCCTCTTTCTGTCGCTGTCGAGATGATTATGCTTTGAAGCCGTACGGCCTCCTTTGGCAGCAATGCCAGTCTTCTCATTCTTGTTTGGGAGTCCATTTGGTGTTTGACTTTGGAGCAGTCACAGGGAGCAAATCAACATTTTCTGTGGCTGAAAATTTTGAAGAAAATGCTGGGAGGGGAATCACTTCTCCTGATAATTTTTCATTTTTAGAAATGATGGTGAAAGATGTGATGGTTTTCACTATGGCACTGAGAAACATAGACCCTTTTCATGCCTCAATAATCATTGGCATTTTCAGTAGAGATCTTTTTCAAGCTGAAGAAAATGCTGAGGGAAATTGTGGACAATTTTCAGCATGTCCCATATATCCCTGGTACTAATCCAAAACTGTGGAATACCACTTACATTTTCACAAGACAGTTTAGGCCCTCACCCCTGGTATGGACAGTTAATGGTACGATTATGAACTCCACTCCAGCTATATTAGCCATTAATCAAATCATTTTGATTTTGGCCAGTCTATAATGTCCCATCATCCCACTCCTCATTCA